GAGGTCAAAGACGCCCTACGCAGAGCCATATGGCAAAAGCCACTTACATCTTAATCGGGCTCGTTTGCGAACTTAATTTCCTTCAGTTTGTGAATACGCACTTATTTTAAGTTGTTTTTAATAATGCCTTTCCTTATGGTATCAAGAAGACCAGAATGTACTAATGGCTAATGATCTAGAGGCTTCCTTCTGTGCTCTCAGAATTCTCTGTGCTCTGCTCTAGAGGAATGAGATGATTTTTATATATTTAGTATAAGTAGAAAGAAAAATTATAAACCTGGGTTACTTCTATCCAGAGGCTTGACAGGCTTTTAACTGAAAGCTTTGGCCCAGCTATGTGAGTCATGGTTGACTAATACCTTTTCACTTCCCTGCCAAGCCCCTTGAAACCTGGACCTTGTTCAAAGCCAGAGGCAAACTGCTTTGTGTATAGACCTGTTCATATATGCACATGGCTGCACTCTCCATGAAAATATTGTGAGTTGCAGTTATGTATCCCACATGTATCACCTTCAAGCCAATGATAGACTTCATATTTAAAGGCAGAAACCAAAAAGCTTGTTGTGTACCCTGAGCTGGTACTTTGTGTGGTATGTAGTTATACTCTGCGTTATTGTCACAGTGACAAAACTGCTTGCAAATTATTTCTCAGACTAGATCCTCATTGGTAGACATAAAAGACTGTATCAATTCAACTTTGTTAAAACACAAATTCATCAAGTTTCTAAATCTGATATATATCAATTATGGAAACAGGTGTAGAAAGACACGTGTGTTGTTGCTAAGAGTACTGCTGGTGCAGTCAGCATAAAGACATATCTTATATCTTATATTCTGTTTCATGAATATTGCATTAATACTTTGTGATGACTTGGAGGATTTTTCAAGACACTTAAAGTATGTCTTTGAAGTGCAGGGCAGCACAGTGGTAAGAAAGTAAACCAGCACCAGCTATAGAAAGTACAGGTGTGAGCTATCCACAATCCTATTATGCACACTTCATAAAACTCAGATCCAGAATAAGACCATACTGACAAGGTGAGCTTTGTCTACTACCCTTTCAATTCTAGAATAAAGAAAATGGGTATGGAAGGGTAGACATCACTGTGAAAAGAACATCAGATCCACTGTTTGGCAGTTGTGGAGCACACCCATGAAAGTGAACAATCTGTGATTTGATGTAGGATAGCACGTGTCGTTTTGGAAAAAGAAAAGATGAGAATATAAAGTCTACACAGGGAATGAACATGGAGTGCTATGTCTTTACTACATGTCCAGATTTCCAGAAATGGTGAGGGTGCTTCCTTTTGGGAGAGTTGATTAAAAGACAATTTTAAAAAAAATGGCTTAGCAATTCTGTTTAAGTAAAAATATAAAGTAAAGATGGGATGGGCAGTGGAACAGCATCAAATGTCTAAAGATGAATTTGTCAAAGGCTGATGTCATCCCCAGAGAATACACCTTAGGATTTACACATGAACTCTCTGGGTAACCTAGAATCCTGGAGTGAGGCTCTCAGTGAGTCCCCTTTAAGAAGTGTCCTTGCTAAGGATCTGTATCTCTGTTTTTTTTTTTTTTATCATGTTTGGGGGATGGGCTGCTTCTAGTGGTTTGCCTGTTCCATAGTGTCTTCTCTCTATGATGATTATGAAGAGCTATCTCGGGTCCAGAGCTGCCATCTGTGGGGTGGTTTAGAGCTTCTGCTGTGACCGTTTTACACTTCAGCTTTTGTCTTTCACCCCTGCTTCTTTTGCCCCAGCAGAGGTGGGGGTGCTACATTCAAGCCTCTGCCCTGGAGTTTGTCTCCTGGGGTCACCAATCTGCAGCTGTATTTTAGAATTCCATTTCTAGAACAGCTGGCATGTGTGGAAAAACCAATTTTCGGCCTTAACATATTCTAGTGCAGGCGGATGAGCTCTGTTCTTTCAGTTTTAAAATATGTTTTTGTTACAAGTGCTGAGTTACATCTACCAAGACACAACCATTTTGAAATTTTGTTAAGAATTTTTGCTTCTGAAATTTCTGTAATTTCAGATCCTTTTCACCCGACCCCACAGCGTTGCAGAGAGGTTTTTGCCCACCGTCTGTGCTGTACTGAGCATCAACAAGACTGACCGTACACCTATGCCTTTTCAGTTTGAAAATGGAAGAATATGGATGTTACAAATGGTATATGCAGATGACCTTGATAGCGATTCTGAGAGCATCAGTCGACTATGGCTTTAATAGGAAATACTGTAACAACTGAAGCACCATATGGGAACTAGGACTTGCTAAGAAACAGTCCAGACCTGGGCAAGTGATTTAGGGCAGGAGACAAACTTTAAAGTCATCCGTAGACCTAGGCTGCCTTGGGGGCTTGTGCCTGCCACAGCAGGAAGCTGCATCTCTGGGTTTAGGGAGGTGCCCCTCTGTGCTTCATTTCCGTTGGATGAGGAGGCATTCACCTTTCTTCTAAGAACTTGCTTCCTAAACAGTCTTTCCTGATACATCTTTTGCCAAATCTTTATTCTGGAGGTATTCCAGGAATTTATCTTTCAAGGTCACAAGCCCGGAGATGTTCAGTTGTTTTCCCATCCCCTAAAGTAGCAGAAACTCATAAGGATGTGTGATTATCTGTTTTGAGGGAGAAACCATGTTGCTTTATGCTCTGTCCTGGACAATTTAGTACAGGTCAGAAGTGACCAAGGAGGACAAACAGGTAGATCGAGAAAGGATATTTCTCAACTAACCTGTATAACATACTCACTCTTTGACATAGATCAAAATATTTTACATATATTTTTAAAAAAGACACTTTAAGAAAGGGTATAATCTGGGGAACACTAACTATTAGAATAGTAATGTAATTTTCTAAGTTACTTCTGTAATAGAATGCAAATGGCCATGAAGGCAAAAGAAATAAAATAGAAATGGCAGGCACAGATCTGAAATTAGCTGGGAATTTATATATGAGAATCAGCACACCAAAGTGGTGACAGATCCAGGTGCCCAGTGATGGGGCATGAAAGGAAATCCACCCTGGCACTGAGCCGGAAATGACTGCTGAACCCCTGAGCCTAGACAGTCACTACATGTAAATGAGTGGCAGTGTCTGAGAATAGGGAGACTCTAAGACCACCTTGTCCAGTCCCTTCCCATACAGGAAAAAACAGAATCTCAAAGGCTTGCCAGCGGCCTGGCCCAGTCCAGCACCCAGTGAGAAGCAGCGTGGACTTCCATCTCTGCTCCACCCATGGCCATCCCAAGCTTAACTGGGGATATAGGAAAGCAAAAGTTAACAGCGATAGTCAGGATTCTAGAAACTCCTCAGAAGTCTCTCGAGCTGATCAAGCCTGGAATTTCCGCCCACATCAAGCACCTCTCAGTTCCTAACTCAGTATTTGGCATTGCAACCAAGTATGAGATAAAGGAGGAACTTCCTGTCTAGCTCAGCACCGGAGACACTGACACTATAGGAAACTGTGGAACAATGTGTCTTGATTGTGTGTATATTGGCAACAGTGGTCTAAAGGTTTATCCTGAAATAAGCCTTGGGCAGGAAGCAGAGAAAGTTTCCCATAAAATCACCCAGGAGTTTCCAGTGGGGACTTTTCCCTGCCTGCGTCTCAGAAGAAATCACTTCCACATTCACCACACCTATTTATATGAACCCACGTGCCAGGGATGGAGTCATTCCTTACCATATTAAATGAGGAAAATGTTGGAGAGGAAGAAGAAAAAGGGGTTCACGTACTATATACATATTCCCATCTTTTTCTTAAAAAAAAGAAAGATGAAGTAATTACTATTTATATCCCACTAGCATTTCTTGATAAAATGAAAATTTCAGGTTTAGGCAGGGTTTACAAATTGCCCTCATACTGTTTCCCACAATGTCAGTAGGTGTAGAGTCTGGGCAAAGTCAACACCCTCTGCTCTCATGGGATGTCATAAGTGCCAGTCCAGCACTGACAGCATGGACCCTGTCACTTAGAGTTTTTCTTAAGCCTGAACTCATTTTCTGCATGAGCATAGGCAGGAACTCAGTTAGACATGTTGCCTATCCTCATTCTTATTGAAATGAAAAGCCTGACTCATAAATATACAAGCAGGTTTTCTCAAGTCATAAACCTAGAAAGTAAAAGAATAAAGAGTTTGATCCATGTCTTATACTGTGTGACTAATAATGGATATCTCTGCAGGGAAGAAACTTAACCCAGTTCACACTCTGAGACAGACCCAGGACTTCACTAAATGGTTTGGTAACAAAATGAAAGAGATAAACACAAACCTATTCCCTTTACCCAAGAACTTATTAGGAGAACTACACCAGTGATTCTCAGCCTTCCTAATGCTGCAACCCTTTAATACACTTCCTCCTGTTGCAATGACCCCAACCATAAAATTATTTTCATTGCTTTTTAATAACTGTAATTTTGCTATGTTGTAGATCATAGTGCAAGTATCTGATATGCAGGATATATTTTCATTGCTACAAATTGACCCAAAGAGGTCATGATCCACAGGTTGAGAACCTCTGTCCTGGACAATAAGCCATGATTATCATTTATTGAATTTCTCAAAAGCCATTGCCTTGCTCCTCTATGGGGATATGATACAAGTTGCAACTATAAGATTGGTTTACCCGACAAGGCTAAATTGATTACATATGAATCCTGGTGTGAACTTCCCACGCTTTGGGGTCATCTCAATTTTTATCAAGAAAAAAAAATCTCTTAGCAGTGGAAAGCAGAGTATGAAACATTGCCAACCTCACCAGTGTCCTACCATGTCTTCTAGCTACCTCCTTCTTACAATGACCAGGAAAGGTTATTATAAATTTGTGCCCTCATGGGTCTTTCTTCTAGAAGTAAGCAAACAATTGAAGAGGTTCAGAATCTCTAAGGTTACCACGCCACACGACTCCACACTTGCTTTATTCAAACTGTGCTTCCCTTTTACAAATACAAATAAGGGAATCAACTCATTCTTTAAATTATTAAACCGGTGTTTATTGAACATTTGCTATTACATGTCACTGAACCAGCTGCAGACAGTTTAATGAAGCATTTATGCAAATCCTGGGGCACAGACTTTTCCATGGATACTGCGAATGACCTTTGACAGTTGAGAAGCTATGGAAAATCGCTGTTAAGAATGCCAGCAATGACATCAGTTCCTTTATGTGCCTAGGTTAGGCATTAAGCTTTAAGGTTTGTTGCGTTTTCTTGCCTTCTGAATCTTCAAGGCTAGTTTGAACTGTTCCTGAGTTGAAAACAATAACCCCGTGTCCACAGCAAACAGAATCACCACCAGCAACTGGATAATAAACTGTAGCCAATGATGCTTGTTTTTGTAAACTAGAATGGAACATAGATACAACAATTACACAATTCAGATTAGAAACTGAAAGGGGGGGTCCGAGATCCAGCTTCCTTAAGAGGGACACAAACATGATTTTCCACCCTTAGTCTGATGGAATAAATGTTTCCCAGTAACCCCCGTCTATCTGTTCTAGTCACTGAAAGTCATGAAAACATGATGCCATGAGCTGATGATTTGGAAGTACAAAAGAAATCAGCATGGAGCCAAGGATAATTAAACATCAGAGCACAATTCTAAGTTTGGCCAACTTGCTTTTTTTTTTTTTATAGATAGCTATGCGCATGCCAAGATAAAGCAAAATTTTTCCTCCTTCAAAGGTAAGCATTTCAAAGTTTCCCTCTTGCATGACGTTTTGGAAGAATGGCGTTTCTTATGAGCCATAGAGGCCCCACCTGCCTGGCCTCAGCGGGTTCACTCGCCTCCTGCAGGACCTGCACACACAGCTTGCAGCAGGGTTGATTTCCTTCCACACCATCCTCAGCCAAAACGGACTCGCCAAACTTTTTGTACGCTTGCTGACTTAAACTTCCCAAACCACTTCCAATTTGATACATACAAACACTCTTCGTAGAAGCAATTGATAATTTTTAAATGCTAATTATATTATTTTATGTCTGGACAGTCCTTTACAGTTTTTAAATCCATTTGACAAAACTATCTCATTATTTTGGGCATAGTGTTACCATCAACACTTAGCAAATGAGGCCTCTGCTGTGAAGATAGGTCCTGGATCTCTATTGGCCGTTTCAGACAATTACAGACGTACTAACTTTAAACACTGGGCTTGTACGTCCACTTTCTCTTTCTCTACTATGTATTATCTTGTTCTTTATCAACTTACATCTTATTACGGTGATTTTGAATTTCTCGGATGTGTAGTTCAGCCGCTTAAGATAGCCCGTGCAGTGATAGGTGCCACTGTCGTTAAGGTTGGCATTTCTAATGGTGATTTTGGGGTTCTCATAACTGTACTTGAAAGCATGGTCATTCCTATAGTAGATCACCTTCTGGACAGTCCCGTTCCTCCAGCCATGGCATCGGATGTCAAAGGACTCATTGTCTATTACCATCTCAGCAGAGGTCTGAAGGAGCAGCCAATCTGAAGAGCAGTCATACATTACTGTTATTTACTTAACAATGGATAAGTGTCCTGAGGGGGGAAGGCAGGGAGAGAGGAGCAGATAGAGCCACAGAGAGATGGGAGGGATCAATTAACCCATTTCTTGTTTCATATTATCAACTAAAGAATAAAGACAAAATAGTGTTTATAACTTGAAATCTATGCCAATGAATCCCCTTTCCCTCAGAAAAGTCAGTCAGAAGCCATAAAATGTCTTACAATCTACTGCTGAGCCCACTGTGGAAATCCCAAAGACCAGAATTCCCTTCAGATTCTTCTAGATGGATCTAGTTAAGAGGGAGCACACAGAATACTCCTCCAAAAATATTTGAACTTATGAGAATTATTTTTGGTCCACTCTTTCTTCACAGAGGCTTTTCAGTTCTGTTGTTAATTATAGTTGGCCTAAATACTTCCTTAAAAGACAAATATAAATCTTAACTATTTGTTTAGTTTTTATTTACCATCTTCTTCCCTATATAGATCTGAGTATGAAGATATAGGACTGTGTCAGTGTTTAGGAGTTTGTAGATAGTCAGTGATTATTTGTCTATAATGACTCAGCAAGTTCAAAGAACTGTATTCTATGGCTACAATCATTTTTAAGAATTGTAAAACATTCATAAATGGAGAGTTTTGGGTGAGAACATATCTAATTTGTGCAAGCACATTGTATTTAAGAAAAATGCTTTGAGGACTTCTCTAAAGTCTAGTACCAGGAAGTAAATGACTATTCTGCATGGTTTAGTTTGTATTTAGAATGGGTTTACAGATGTTAAAACATTTTTCTACTCAAGAAAAACGTAATGTGTAACTTTTGCATTTGAAAGACAGTTTTCTCATTAAACATGTACTGATAGCTAGATATGTTGTATTAAATTTTGGCAGTTAAAGTAATAAATAAACAATATTCATTGTATCAAAATAAACAATAGAATTATTTTTAGTAACAGTAAAGGACATGAGGAACATGTAGAGATATCTTTCATGACCCTCAGATTGTTCAGAGCAAATTGTTACTCAAATATTATGATCCAAGTATATATACACAGCTTTTTGCAGTGTTCATATGCCTATCACACCATTTGATCACAGAATACATGTCTACATCTAGGTAACATAGAAAAAAATCAGATCAGAGGAATAATATTGATGACTGAATAGACCATTAAAAGAGAGGATGTAAGGAGTGGTGCAGAAGAAAAGTCACCGAGATGTCTTGAGGGAGAAGCTTCAAATCTCTTGGAATAACCTACATTCCTACCAGCTTCTAGTGCAGTGGTTCTTAACCTGTGGGTCATGACCCCTCTGGGGGTCAGATGACCCTTTCACAATGACTGCCCAAGACCATTGGAAACACAGATACCTATATTATTATTCATAACAGTAGCAACATTTTATGGCTAGAATTTACAACAACACGAGGAACTATATTAAAGGGCTGCAGGGTTAGGAAGGCTGCAGACAGTTCTTGTGGCTCCTTCTTCACGTGAAAGACAGACAGTATTCTCATATTTCTAGAACATACCTCTCGTCACTTCCAAGTACACGGGTTTACTCTTGTAAAGTCCTTGGTTCTGGCATATGTATTTTCCACTGTCTTGAATGGTGGCACTCACGATGTCCCAATGTGAAGTTGTAACTTTAGAAATGGTACCATTGTGGAACCATTTAGTATTGTTGTCTTGAAGGGAACTGTTTGCATTGCATGTAAGAGTCACGTTATCTCCTGTAAATATTCTAATCCATGGTGGGGTCAAGGACACAACAGATTTCTGAGTGGCTTAAAGAAAGTAAAATTATGAAGATAAAGAAATTTGAAGTTGTTGAAAATTAGTCAGTCTCAAAAGTATAAACATGTCAACAGTCAAGCAATGGTCTATCTTATTGGTAACAAGGCTTAGTCTTGGTGTCATCTAGGAAAGGCGATAAAGGATGAAGTAAACAGTGATGTGGTCTCAGAAAGCAGCCAGTCCAGGCATAAGTAAGGGTTCAAACACAGAAGTTTGGAAACAAGTGAAGTATTTTATTATTTGATGTCATAACCTACTCTAATTCTCTGAACTTCAAAATCGGTATTCATAAATGTAAATTGCAGGCTTTTTAGGTAGAGATTATGCTTGCCTCTCCCAATCATTGCTTATCATAATGGTTGATATATAGTTAGTGTTTACTAAATAATTATTGAATGACAGAATGTAAAAATAAAGGATAATAAATATTAAAGCCTCAGTTTCATTAAAACATATCAGGAGCAGCTGTCAATCATTTCAGTCTATACCAAGTATTGGTATACTTTAGTACACAAGGTAAGTAAATTGCATTAATTAAAATTAAAATATAAAATAGGCTTGTAAAAGATGAGTTCTAAATTTTAATCTATTTAATTGTGAATATATACAGTGAGAAGTGTTTGTAATTTTCAAGGCTCATGAAAAGCACCAAGAGGGTGTCAACTTGGATGGCTTCCAGGAGCAAGGAGATGTGGCAAAAATTTAAACAGAAGCTAAAAAAACTTCTCGTGGTGATGACAAAGGGTGATATAGTCAAGGAACATTATAATCAGACCTGAGGGACTTACGATAGCACCCAGTTTTTATCGGTTGTGCAAGCCCCAGTAAGTGATGTTGTAATCTGAGCTACAGGATTCTCAATTATAAAAATCAATAATGATAGTAATATGAAAGTTGGATGAGTGCATGTGAAAGGCCTAGAAGAGAGACTAATGTCAGAACAGACATGACTCTTGACTTAAGCAGAAGAGGAGGTGGCTTGAGAGGGGAAAATGGTATATGGGAAACTCTGGGGCAAGGAATAAATGACAGGGAAGAGGGAGATCTGGAAAGCAGACTTTCTGGGAAGAAGAAAATTTAGAGCTATAAGAAAACACGATGGATACAGACAAACAGCAGAAGAGAGCAATGTCCAGATACACCAAGGGAACAAGGACAAGGAACTCACCCGTTAGTGTGATGGCCAGAGCTGCAAAATTAATAAAGGGTAAGTTAGCATCTACCTCCAATTTTTCAGGATGCAAGAAGACTGGGATGGGTGTGGGAATGAGACTCACATTCACAAAGTTTTAATGATCAGTGGGGAGAAGGAAGGGCATTCTTTCCTCTATCCTCCTCCATTGTTATCTGTATTATAATATATGCAGAGGACTGAAAAGACCCAAGCATTAGCCTGGTTTCCCAGTGAGGTGATGCTCAGCCCAGTTACCTTTGCTCCTCTCTACTACACAGTGCCCAGAAATGCCCCCATGGTTTGCATATGTGCTGCAAAGTCACCAAAACCAAACCAAACCAAACGTTCCCAACTCTGATGCTCTCTAGATGCATTTTGGCCCCTTGGGGTGGGAATTAATGTAAATTCATACTTACAGAAAAACAGCCCTGTTAACCACAGCTGGGCAGATCCTTCAGTGCCAGTAGCCATTGCTTTTGTGCCTTCAGGTGCTAACTGTGCCGGGGAGCTGTATGGTTTTAAAAATAGGCTTGAAACCAAAAAGGAGAAGGAAATGTTTTCTGCACCATATCTGGTTCACTCATCAGCTTCGCCTGGGCTTGGCTTTTTCCAGAGATAATAACAGTGTTGTGCCAAATTGGGCAATTTTAAAGTCACCCATTTGCTCCCATTGCACCTTCAGCTGCACACCTAGAATCTGGTGGCTGAGGACCGTGGGTCTCAGCAGAGCCACAGGCTCCTTAAGGTGCCATTCAATGCACAAGTATTTGGTTTGCATCTTAGAAGCATGGGGTATAGGGGACTGCAGAATAAAGTAAGTACTAATTGAATCCCTTGATAGGTGCCAGGCACTGTGTAAATATAACTGATGCTATTCACAAAAAAAAATCTTATGAGTTAGATAGTACTATCTAAATAAATTAGATTTTATTACAGTCTATATTTTATTGGTAGGAAACTAGAAAGGTTATGGAATCTGTATTATCATGCCATCTATTAAATGGAAATTTTGGGGGCTTAAGCATGTAAAAATATAACTCCAAAATCAACGTCTCAGCCACTATGGTGCTCCATTTAAGAACCCTCCAGATCATTGAGAACAACGGCTGAAATGCTTTGGGTTTGTTGTTAATTACAGAGCAGAACTCAAATACTTCCAATAACTAAATAGTTGGGTTCTACTTATAAACTAGGAAGAGTGATATCTAGACAATGACATCATTATAAGATCTAGTAAGAAATCTTGTATGTAAAACACATTGCACAGCTTCTAGCATTTGAGAAATGTTTAATAAACATATAACCTTCCATTTATTAATATTATTTGCTAATTAATTATAATAGAAATATTTATTTGGGCTGGGTTAAGGCAATAGGAAACCTATATAAGATACTTTCCTCAATAACTAGTGTCTCATGGCACTGAACTTTGAGCAATCCTAGTCCTCTCTGGAGTCATGAGAAAAGAGTAAGAACAAGAAGTAAGTTTTATCTGGAGAGAAACCAAGGAGGTATGGAGGAAGGTTTTGGCTTGAGGTACTGGGAGGGTAATGTTTAAATTTATAGACCTTGAGAGAGACAGATTGTACTTCACACATTGATGAGAATTTATTGAGGGATTGGGGGGGTTCCTCTCTCCTAGGATGGGGGTCCTGCAATAAAACTGCTCTTACTTTACTGTGACTCAAACAGTTTCTACAAGGGCTTTCCCTGAAGCTGTTCAAACAGCTCCAACTCACGTGGGAGCAGAAGTGAGCTCCTTGAGAGTGAGGTGCTTGCCTCGTCTAAAGAGGAGTGGTTTGTTAGTGAGATCACTTTCACTTGCTTCACCATCTGAAGTTTACACTTAAGTGCCCAACAGTGAGAGGGAAAAGGTGCTTTAGATACAGCAACAAACAACAGAAAAACATTAGGGGCAACCAAAGAAGTTCACTAAAACTTAAGAACAAATTATAGTATTTTTTGACCCTAGGAAAGTAAGCAACTAGCAATATAAGCATCAGAAAAAATAGACCATACACATTCCCAGACGATATTTCTAAAATGAGCAAATGAAAAAAAAAAGCTCAGAAGAAATTAAAAAATCACCAAGATTAAACAAGAACTTCACTTACTGTGCCTAATATAAAAATACATTTTAATCTTATTTGCAAAATATCCTCCAAATTTATTTTATATCCAATGTCTGGATGGTGTAGTTGCTCATTTCTTGTATTTAGTATCTTCATTAAGAACATATGTTTTGAGGCACAGGAAAATTTTTAATACATGGAAATTATATTCTAAATTAATTGGTTTCATTTGTAGTTATTATTATTGAGAGTAAGCATTTGAAAATATTGTTCTGAAAGGGATCAATAAGCTCAGGATACCAAATAATCTAAGGAGAACTTCTATGCCTTGAAGGTTTTTAATAGTTAGATGGTAGAGTCAAAAAAGGGATGAAAGTGTGCTTGACAAAATCAGTACAGTATATAGAATCTCACTTCTTACTGCAAGATTTTGAATTTGAGAACATATGTGATTAATACATAATAGCACCTCATGCCCAGATTTAAACCTGTTACCAGTTCCCAGATGACTTAATCTATATTTCACTTTGTGAAGCAGAGACATAAAACTCTAATGGCCATGCATAAACGATGGGATTTTTGTTCTGCAAGGTGTCCTTGAAGCTAGATTCAGAGCGAGAAGTTTTTAACCAGAACTTTATTGTCTTATAGCATATCTGAAAGAGCAGCATCAAACTTAGCCTATTCACTGCCTGCTTCCTTCCAAAAATCAGGAAACAGAAAGGCCAGTGTGCTAGCTTGCTCTATATGTTTAATAAAACCAAGGACCATATAATATTGGATATGAACTGCTGAAAAGACAGTATACCTGTCTCCTCATGGTATATGTATCTCATAAATATCACAGTCTCTCTCGTGATCAAGGATAAGGCTAAGTATGCAACACATCTTATCAGTTTGGTCCCTCCTACCAATTCTATGTGGTTGGTAATGAGGAAATTACATCATAGAGAGGTTAGGCAGTTTGTTGAAGGACTTACATTTGCCAAATAAATACTTAGGGTTAGAACTCAGACAATTTGGCAGGAGAGTGTACATGCATAACCAGACAGAAAGAAGTGTCTATGTAATCAACACATTGAGAGATTGAATACCTGAGGATTTGTCAAACCTACTTAAAAACTTCTTAGATTTGCCAGAGCCCATCACTTACAGACAGGAAATCATGAATCTAATTCATCCATTTCATGTTTACACATTCCTTTCCTCCTCACTCCAAGACATGGTTTATCAATTCATAGCCATGAATTTATCAATAGTTGCCATGGTGGTATTTTAATTGTGTTCACAAACTTTGTCTATGAATGTCATTTTTAGCCAAGTGACCCAAAGGAATTCAGACTAACTTTCCTGTCTTCCTGTTGATGGAGATGTGGAGTGACTATGCACAAAACACTGGTCAGGGAGAACTGTGTTATAAATCTTCTGAGGAAGATGCACAAGCAATGCAGTGTTGGATAAAGGTTCCTAAAATACCTAAATATTATGTTAGGTTGTTTACTTTTAAAAAATGATTACCTGTACATATTTCAAAGATATTAGAAATCTGGGATGTGAATAGACTCTTAAGCTTGATTCTCAATTCAAACCCTTTATTTGCTATGTGGCTATCTCAAGTACCAAATTGCCTCATGTTCCTGATGCCTCACTTATAAAATACAGGTAGTAGTGGTGCCTTAAGGGTGTTTGCAAGTGTTAAATGAGCTAATACAGTGAAGTGCTTGGCAGAGAGCATGGCCAATACTGCATCTACTAACAGTTTCTGCTACTGATATGATGGGTGTTTTGGATGGAGATTTTGCTGTTAGAGAAGAGAGAATTAGGTGAAAGTTTCCCCCGAAACAAAATTTGAATAGGGAATAGTCTCTATTCAATAGTTTCCAGCACCTGATGTTTTTTAGCCATAATACTAGCACTCTGAGCTAATATTGGCTATATCATTAGACTCTGGAAACACTTAGGAGTACTATCCTTACTCTACAGAAACAGTTCCTACATCTCTCTGCAGGCTTAAAGAGATAAGGCAGGAGCCAGAGGTCATTGCCAGGTGTGGCTCCAGACAGAAATTCCCATTTTGCAGTCACCAATTGGCCAAATGTGGTGTGAGCTGTGGATCTTTTATGCTTACTTACAGAACCAATAACATGGTAACAGCCTCCTCTTAAAGAAACCCCTTTAAGATAAGGACAAGAGGTCTTGGCACAGCCCAAAGCATTTGCATTTTAATAGGTGAATTGGGAATCCTAATTTTTCAGAACTGTGGCTTCACTGTACTGTGACCAGGGTGTTTCTAGAAGTGAAGCTAGCTATGACTTGGAGTTTGGAAAAATTGGAGAGAGCTCTAAATGATGGCTCATGATGTAATCTCAACACTCAGGATGCAGACATGGGATTGCTACACTCTTGAGGGTAACCTGGGCTATAAGGTAAGACTGTCTCAAACAGAAACAATGACTAGGCCTGGAGAAACAGGAAAGCTTTGCCTTGCAAGCATGAGGACTGAAGTTTGATCAGCAGCATCTATGTAGAAACTGGGCACAATGGCGCCTTTCTTTAACCTCACTGATGGCAGGTGGGCATGAAAGACTACTGGGACTCCCTGGGTAAATGGCTAGATAAATCAGTGAGATTCATGTTCAATGAGAGTTCAAAATAAAGGAAGCATGATGTAACATTGAGCCCTAGTCTTTCTATAGCAGATACAGTCACATCCAGACACCACACACACATACACACACACACACACACACAAACACAATCACACCTGCACCTTCACATGAACACATTCACATTCAAAGCAGGTATGTACATCACGCATGATAACAAAAAAGGAAGAAAAGATCTGTAGAAATCCTTGTGGCGTGTGTGTATGTGTGTGTCTGAGTGTGAATATGTGTGTGTGTGTCTCTCTGTGTGTTGGTGATTGTTTGTCTCCATAACACCCTGGAAAGAGTGGGGGTAATTAAACCCTGTATTGCCAAAGGCACACGGACAGCCTTCCAGGCTAAGAGCTGCCCTGCTTCTGGACATCATTCTGGATTATATACTTTTATCTTGAGTTTGGCAAGCAAATGCAAAAGCAGTTTTTGCATTTTCTCATATATACCCAATTTAACAGAAAATAAACTGCCATGAGTATTGAGGGAAGAGAGCTATTTCCCATTTTTGGAACAGCATCCTTCAATCTTTTTATTTCAAAGAAAGAGAGCATCAACAGCTAAAATGGTCAGTATACACATGCCTCAGGCATATCAGGTTGTCTGTTTGCTCATCACCGTCCCATGTTCTCATAAAATATTCTCATTTTATTACTTCCTCATATTTAGGTCCTGAGTTGCTCTGATTTTAAAGTATATCTCTGTGTAGGTAGCACAGATAGATAAACCCAGCTTTAGGGTCCTGCAGTTT